CACAACGCCCAGCCATTTTTTGGTTGCAGCCATCATTGTTGTTTGGCGGGCCCAGGCTGGGGATTCGAACCTGCCACCTTAGGTGTATGTGGCTGGCGCCTTAGCCGCTTGAGCCGCAGGCGCCGAGCCTGAGTCCAGCTTCTTAATTCTTATTACTTACCTTTGAGAAATTTGCACCCCTCTCTAGCAGGTCCCCTCACACTGCAGAGAGGCAGCCTTGGAAAATACAATGAACGTGTTTTCAAGGGCACTTAGGAAAGGGAACCCTGGTTAGTAACCAACAGTGATAGTTCACCCCTAGCCCTGGCCCTGACCCCATCTCTCTTCTATGTGCTCAGGTCTGTGATGAGCCCCACCCTCTGCTCGTGAAGGAGATGATCCAGCACTGTGTGGATGCCAACATTGATGAGGCCTACAAGGTCAGCCCCTCCCCTTTCCTTACTGGAGAAGAGCTTTCTGCCTCCTGAGCAGGGCAGAGGGAGACTCCAGTGCTAGGAACTTTATACGCATTGTTCTACTTCATGCTGAAAATTGTGCTAGGAGTTGGGTGCACTTTTAGATGGAAAAACTGCTATTCAAGGCGGCTGAAATCCTTTACCTAAATCACACTGTTTGAAAGCAACAGAACTGGGATGCACAATTCTTTCTGTTATAATTGTATCTTCTGTCAGAGAAATTTGTCAACCTAAGTCACAAGGGAAGATGGTTCTAGCTCCTTTCCCAGTGAAGCTATCTTCTCTCTAGTCAGGGAGGTGTTTCCTACTGATTGCCCTGAGGAGTATGGGAATGAGCTTTCTGGAGCTTAGCAGTTGCTGGTCAGGCAGGAGAGGTGGGGCCTGGTCCTATGAGCAGATTCCAACAGGCATGACTGGGGTTCAGATAACCAGTTATATGGGTGGCAGTGGCATGATTCAAGGCCATTTGGTCTGACAGGTTTCTCTCCCTTGGCCTCAAACTAACTAGGCTACAAGTTGACTGGATTTAGGGTAGGGTCTGACCTAATGTGACACTAGAATGCAAGTCAGGGAGACTGAGGTAGTGACCCAGACTCAAAGGCTGAGTCACTGAGTGGGCTTGAAAGAAGCCTTCAGAGCTCCCCACCCCCTTGAATTTACCCCAAGATGCCAAAACAAAAGCAAAAAGGACAAAGGACTGCCTCCAGACCCCACAGACTGGATGGGAGTGGTGGTGGTAGTGACCACTGCTGTCATCGCAGCCCCATTTAGGATGTATTCAGGGCTAGTCCTGCAGGGGGCGCACAAGGGAACAGTAACAAGTGAATGGTTTTTTTTTTTTTTTT